AAAATTTAAGTGTTTTAAATCTTGATGTTCAGATAGCAATATAACTCACAAAAATTAGGTGACCTAAAGTGTGAGGATGGTAATTATCTGTCTTTAATATAAAAGAGTAAACTGATACTTTCTAAAATTGAAATGTTTAGTTAATTAATTATGTAACACTTTGTTTTTACTCATAATTTTTTTAAGCCTCATAAAGATTTTTAATTAAAAAAAGCCTTTCATGTGGTAAAGAAAGTCATCTGAAGTTTAAAAATTTTTTTTATTGTTTCATGTCCTTTTCTTTCTTTTCTGTTAAATGTAAAATTATATTTGATGCTTTTTATTTAAAATAAAATTTAGTATGAGTTTCTTCTATCCTTCTTTATTCCCTCTTCCTTCCCTTCTCCTTTCTTGCCTTCTCTTATTCTCCATAAAAAGATATTTAATGTTTATTGTTATTTATTGTGTTACTTTTAGGTAGTAGTATTTTAAGTGTTGTACTTTCTATTTCCCTATACTTTATGAATTTCTATGTTGTATATGATTTACAAAAGCAATTACATAATTATGAAAAATGAGTTAAAATAAAAATTTTAAAATGCTATAGTAGAAAGAGTGAATATTAAGTATAAATGAAGAAATGACAGGATCAAAACTTAAAATGATAGATTTTATTCAAGAAAATTATAAAAACCTTTTATTGCCACAAAATCCCTTGAAATTCAGAAAGTGGAGAATATTTGTCAATGAGTTGACAAAGTAAGAATTTTCCTGATATTATTAGAGATCTTATAATTAGTAGAAAAAAGATGAACACACATAAAAAGTGGGTCACAGGACAGTATCAGGAAGTTCTTGGAAGTAGTATAAATGCTTAGAAACTTTCAATTGATCAGCAATTCTTGTCAGTGAAAATAAGATCTAGTTTTTACATACCAAACTATGTTTCTGATTGTTATAATACATAGGGTTGGTAAAATGCATTTATACCTTAATAGTAGAAATATAAATGCACATATTTTTGGAGGTCAGTTCAGCAAAGTCTCATAAAAATTAAAATATAAAAAGCTTTTAACCTGATTTCAGTTTTTATCCTAAGGAAATAGTCATGATTATGCCCAAAGATGTGTCTAAAGGAAAATTTTATTTATGGTAGAAAAAAATGGGAAATTACATAAATGGCTAACAGTAGTGAATGGATAAAACAATTATGCTACTCTTTTTTTTTTTTTTTTTTTTTCCGAAAATGGCGTTTTGCTCTGTTGCCCAGCGTGAAGTACAGTGATGCAATCTCTGCCCACTGCAACTTACACCTCCCATGTTCAAGTGATTATCCTGCCTCGGCCTCCTGAGTAGCTGGGATTACAGGTGCCTGCCACCGTGCCTGGCTAGTTTTTGTATTTCTAGTAGAGACAGAATTTCACCATGTTGGCCAGGCTGGTCTTGAACTCCTGACCTCAAGTGATCCTCCCACCTCAGCCTCCCAAAGTGCTAGAATTACAGGTGTGAGCCACCGCGCTTGGCCAATTATGCTTCATTTTTCTTATCAGTTATATTTTATGACACTGAAAAATACACAGTATATTGTTGATTTAAAGTAAACAAAGTATAAATTACCTTATATAGAACAATTTCCATTGTATTCCTCTCATCCTCTCATTTATATCTGTGTGTCATATGTGGATTTATATGCATAGCAATTAATCTGTATATAAAATGATATTTATAATGATTATGTCGGGTTACAGAATTATGGGGTTTCTTTTCTTTTTTGTTTTCTTTACTGTTTTCACATATACTCTGAATTTGTTACAAGAAGTATCTTTTTTTTTTTTTTTTTTTTTTTGGAGACAGAGCCTCACTCTGTTGCCCAGGCTGGAGTGCAGTGGTGCAATCTCAGTTCACTGCAACCTCCGCCTCCCAGGCTCAAGTGACTCTACTGCCTCATCAGCCTCCCAAGTAGCTGGGACTCTAGGTGCATGCTGCCACGCCCAGCTAATTTTTGGATTTTTAGTAGAGATGGGGTTTCACTATGTTGGCCATGCTGGTCTTTAACTCCTAACCTCAAGTGATCCGCCTGTCTCGGCCTCCCAAAGCGTTGGGATTACAGGCATGAGCCCCCACACCTAGCAACAAGAAGCATCTTTGACCACCCCACAAAAAGATTGTTTTGTGAAGAAGAAAATTGAAATACATTTCAGTGGAATGTATAGTAAGCTAATACATCTATAATGTGCATGATTACAAGATTCTGTAAAAATATAGATGACACTCTTGATCCATGTGGGCAGAAGTCCTGTCAAACTCAAGATATAAGCAAATCAGCACTAAAACTGAAGTCTCTTTAGATCTTAAAGGTAATTTTGATATAGTTTTTCCAGTAAATGTCCCCCTGAAGCCTTTCCTGAACTAAACCCACAGAGCTAGGTCTTTCATTAGAAGTCCTATAAGGAACAAAATCATGTGATGTACAGGGGCAGTGCACCATTTCCTGCCTAATATGATGGATGGTATTTTGTTTATCTCTTGACTGCTGTGCAGCAAAATTTATGGTAAGTATTGTTTCAAAGCAAACTATAGGAGGAAGCTGACTTGTCTCTTCCCTGGTGTATGCACAGTATCTTCAAGTTTCCCCCAAACCTAGAATTAAGCACCTGTATAAACATTTGCATTGGAGGAGATAATCAAGAGGGCAAGGATTTCTTTGGTAGCTGAAGTAGTATAGTTGAGAGAGTATTCTAAATTTCAGATAGCCTACTTAATTAATTAGTTCAGTTTTTTGAGACCGGGTCTCACTCTGTTGTTCAGGCTGGAGTGCAGTGGCGCAAGCCCACTGCAGCATTGATCTCCAGGAATCAAGTCATCCTCCCCTTCTTGAGTAACTGGGGATGAGAGGAGCCTGCCACCATGCCCAGCTAATTTTTTTATTTAATTTATTTTATTTTATTTTATTTTATGTAGTAGAGATGAGGTCTTGCTGGGTTGCCCAGACTGGTCTTGAACTCATGAGTTCAAGTGAGCCTCCTGCCTTGACCTCCCAAACTGCTGGGATTACAGGCATTAGCCACTGAACTGACCTTCAGATAGACTTATTTAGACATATGTTTACCAGCTCCTTGTAACAGAGATCTGTTTCAAGGTCTGTGCTTTGTCATTTGTTCTTTCCTGATTGGGAGCAAAGGAACACTTAAGGCCTCCTTTTCTTGGGCTAGGCTTGAGTTGGAAGAGATTTAAACCTCCCTTCCATCGTCCCATAATACTCATTAGCCCTGTATTTTTTTTAATAGCCATTTGACCTTTTTCAGTCATATTTAAGTGTTTTGCAAACACAGCCACAGGACAGATGCCCTAGCTTCCTTTTGAGTTTAGGTAATTTTCCTTTTTCCTTGCCTGGACTGAGGCGGATAGGGTAAGGGGATCAACAGTCCTGTGCCTTTTGTTATGGAGTGTGGCACTTGGAAGCTGATGTTAGAAGAGACCTTTTGCAGATGAATGGTACCCACATAAATGGTTCATTTGATTTCTGTATTATGGTAGCAATAGCTGCCATAACTGATAGATAATGAAATTCTAGTCACTTACCAGGTAGTATTTTATTTCATGTTCACTTAAAATCCAAATAGGCTTTCCCAAGCAGTTGATTATCTTACAGTGATTTAGAGACCCAGGCAGCTTCTCCCACCTTGTGGCTCCATTGTCTTCCTTCTGTGGATCTGTGTTGCTGGCTTGCGGAAAGAGCATGGAAAATGTGCATGAGTGCTTTTCCTGTGGGTCAGGCCTCAAAATAATCTATAACTGTTCTGTTCACATTTTATTGGTTAGAACTCAGTTAAATAGCCACACTTGGCTATAAGAGAGGCTGGAAATGTAATATAGATGTGGACCCAGGAAGAAAGGAATCAGAGTTTGATGATTACTTTGTCAGACTGTGTCACAGTTACCAAAACCAGAGAATAGAAAATTGAAGAAAGAAATGAAATACTGAGAGCTGGGAGAGAAGATGATCCAGATTTTGAATCTTTTTTTTTTTTTTTTCTTGAGACGGTGTCTCACTCTGTCCCCCAGGCTGGAGTGCAGTGGCACGATCTCGGCTCACTGCAACCTCCACCTCCCAGGTTCAAGTGATTCTTCTGCCTCAGCCTCCTGAGTAGCTGGGACTACATGCGTGTGCCACCACGCCCGGCTGATTTTTGTATTTTTAGTAGAGATGGGGTTTCACCATATTGGCCAGGCTTGTCTCGAACTCCTGACCTCGTGATCCGCACACCTCAGCCTCTGAAAGTGCTGGGATTACAGGCGTGAGCCACTGCTCCTGGCCCGGATCTTGAATTCTAAGGAAGTAACACAAATGAGAGGCCGGTAGTAATTCTTGAGCTAGAGCTAAGAGTTCCAGGATGGTTCCTTTAATGGAACCTTCTATCCTAAGTGTGGGTGTGGGAGGGACAAAATTAAATCAGGCAACATTAAGTAGAAAGGTATTTTTAAAATCCATTGGTAGACCACAAATACAAGCAATGATGAACTCTCTTTAATTATGCAGAATTATTTTGTTTTATGACCCCAAAATTAAGCTATCGTATTTACTTTTAACCATAATTTTAGTTCTTGATGTTAAGGTTTGTTACAGTCTATGTTATAAACTTTGAATTTGGATAGAAATGATTTAAAAATTATGTGGTCTCTATGTTAGGGGAAACCAATAGTTTTAACCCAATAAAATCACTTCTAAATAGTTATTTGAAATTTGAAAATAATAAGAATGACATTTATGTAATATTTCATAATCTGTACATTTCACATTTTAGTTCACACAGATATTTTATTTGAAAAGTTTTCAACAGTCTTGGAACTTTAGGACACAGTTGTGTTACAAACTGTTGTTTCTATAGATGGAAGTTCATAAAAATAATTACTTGTATTATTCTGTATCTGCTTGTAAATTGTTCTCTCTTATCTAAAAGTCATGTGAGCAGAGAATCCAATGTGTTTCATGGTGTTTTATTTTTCCCCCTTCTCTCCAGGAGAAAAGTTGAAATTATGCACACCCATAGTCTTTTCACTCTTCTTGGAGAAAGGCTGATGTTGCATACAAACACTGTGACTGTCACCACATACAACACACTTTATGAGGTAAAAATAAAAAATGTGTGATGAAAGTTTTAAGTGTATACAGTGGAAACCCTCTAAATCTATGCAATTGAGATGAGTAGTTGGTCTGTTAATCTAAAAGCTAATTAAACCAGAAAATGGTTTAATGGTAAAAAATGAATACATACTTTATATTTTTATTTTATTTTAAAACATATCCATGTACAAGTTTTGCCAATCTCTTTATGTCTATCCAAGAGCTTTTCTTCTAGTATGGGTTGGCTGACTGGCTTCACACAAAGTCTTTCTCACATAAACTACATCCATTACATATTATATATTAGTTCTACTTTCCCATCCCCACCCCTCTGTTTTATTCCTCTCCTTCCTACTCTCTCCCTTTCTGCTTCTATTAGCTGTATGCACTGCCAATATTAAGCTAGAGTTGCTACTGGGATAAATTTAGGTAAGAATTATTTGTAAAAATGATATCTGGAAGCATCTTTGGATCTCATCATTTCAATTTAGAAGTTCCTTTTTTATCACTTCCAACAAATGGAATAGTTTTGGGTTCAGTATTTTCTACAAAATGTGTATACTACCTTACAAGAGTGTCTACTTTCATTTTTAAATGCTAGTAAAATGTTAGTAATGCCCCCTTACATTAACCTTAAGTCCGCTTTTCTTATAACTCATCTTCAGTGGTCCCAGTTTTTTTTTCTCTAGCCTAAGAGCTAACTGCCAGCATCCATTTTTGTATGGCTCTAAGTTAAGGATGCTTTTTTATATTTCTAAATGGTTGAAAATAATCAAAAAAAGAATAATATATGAGTTGTAAAATTTATAGGATTTTCAAATTTCAGTGAACACAGTCACACTCATTTGTTTAGCTATTGCCTGTAGCTGCTTTGTGCCACAACCACAGAGTTAAAGAGTTGTAACAAGAATATTTGTTATGCTCTCCTCACCTTGCACTGTTGCTTGGCAAACTAGAAATTACAGAGATGTAATAACTCAACAGTGTTTCATGTACCGCCTGTATTGCCAAAACTAAGTTTTCTGCTTTTAAATACCAGTGCATACCCATCATGTCTAAACAAGAAGAAAAATGGATTTCTAATCTCACACTTTGAAATACGGCAGAGTGTAGATTATTTTGTTATAGATTTAGATGAAAAGACTTTGCATCTGTTATACAAGGGCATTATAGTCATGCTAAGAGAAAACTTACAGGTACTACCAAATATCCATAATATTATGCCTAACTTGGAAGAGCAGTGGTCAGGAAACATTAAACAGAATATCTCATCATTGTAGATTTATTTATAAAAATGTTTTTAAAATGAAAATGAGAGACATTGAGAAAGGCAGATGCTGAGATTCTGAATGCAATTGTACTATAATTTTGAATTAACCTGTAGTCTCAGTTACTTGGAGGGCTGAGGCAGGAGGATTGCTTAATCCCAGGAGGTCAAGGCTGCGCTGAGCTGAGATTGCGCTGCTGCACTCCAGCCTGAGTGACAAAGTGAGACTCTGCCCCCTTCAGAAAAACAAAACAAAACAAAAACAAAAACAAATTTACTCTTCTCTAATACTGTTTCTTTTCATGTAAGCCATGGAACAGATCAACTCAGTTTCAGATTTTGCACAGTCCTCAAACAGGATAGGTTTTACATTTTTTTTAATTTGGAGATTTTTCTATTTCAATTTTATTTTTTCTTTTAAAAAATTTTTATTATATTTTAAGTTCTAGGGTACATGTGCACAATGTGCAGGTTTGTTACATAGGTCTACATGTGTCATGTTGGTGTGCTGCACCCATTAACTCATCATTTACATTAGGTATTTATCCTAATGCTATCCCTCCCCCAGACCCCCACCCCCTGACAGGCCCCAGTGTGTGATGTTCCCCGCCCTGTGTCCAAGTGTTCTCATTGTTCATTTCCCACCTGTGACTGAGAACATGCAGTGTTTGGTTTTCTGTCCTTGTGATACGTTGCTGAGAATGATGGTATCCAGCTTCATCCATGTCCCTACAAAGGACATGAACTCATCCTGTTTTATGACTGCATAATATTCCATGGTGTATATGTACCACATTTTCTTAATCCATTCTGTCATTGATGGACATTTGGGTTGGTTCCAAGTCTTTGGTATTGTAAATAGTGCCACGATAAACATACGTGTGCATGTGTCTTTATAGCAGCATGATTTAAAATTCATTGGGTATATCTCCAGTAATGGGATCACTGGGTCTTTGGTATGTCTGGTTCTAGATCCTTGAGGAATTGCCCCACTGTCCTCCACAATGGTAGAACTAATTTACACTCCTACCAACAGTGTAAAAGCGTTCCTAATTCTCCACATCCTCTCCAGCATCTGTTGTTTCCTGGCTTTTTTTTTTTTTTTTTTTTGTACATAAGTGTCTATGGGTAACATGTGCACAATGTGCAGGTTTGTTACATATGTATACATGTGCCATGTTGGTGTGCTGCACCCATTAAATCGTCATTTACATTAGGTATATCTCCTAATGCTATCCCTCTCCCCTGCCACAATAGGTGTGTGATGATCCCCTTCCTGTGTCCAGGTGATCTCATTGTTCAGTTCCCACCTATGAGTGAGAACATGCGGTATTTGGTTTTCTGTTCTTGGGATAGTTTGCTGAGAATGATGGTTTCCAGCTGCATCCATGTCCCTACGAAGGACATGAACTCATTCTTTTTTATGGCTGCATAGTATTCCATGGTGTATATGTGCCACATTTACTTAATCCAGTCTGTCACTGATGGACATTTGGGTTGATTCCAAGTCTTCGCTATTGTGGTGAATAGTGCCGCAGTAAACATACGTGTGCATGTGTCTTTATAGCAGCATGATTTATAATCCCTTGGGTATATACCCAGTAATGGGATGGCTGGGTCAAATGGTATTTCTAGTTCTAGATCCTTGAGGAATCACCATACTGTTTTCCACAATGGTTGAACTAGTTTACAGTCCCACCAACAGTGTAAAATTGTTCCTATTTCTCCACATCCTCTCCAGCACCAGTTGTTTCCTGATTTTTTAATGATCGCCATTCTAACTGGTGTGAGATGGTATCTCATTGTGGTTTTGATTTGCATTTCTCTGATGGTGATTGATGATGAGCAAGATGGGGGAAAAAAGAGTGTTTTCGGATGTGTTCAATTAAATGAAATTCAAATTTCGGGGTCTGCAAATAAAAGGTTTTGTTTGTTTGGGTTATTTTAGGAAAAGTACAGAGATTTATTGCAAAGGGAGAAGTACACACTCAGGAAAGGGGAGTGTGGGCTTACTTAAGAGAGAGTTGCATGCAAGGGTTTTTGGGGCTGCTACCTTTATGAGTTTCTTCTAAACAAGGGATGGAATATTCATGAAGATTACTGTAAACAGGTAGATATTTCTCAGAACTGTAATGCTATCTAGTTTTACTCCAAATATGGGTGTTCCTGTAACCATTATGGTACTGATGGGTGTGTGATTTTGTATGTTAGTGAGTGTGTAATGAGGTCCTAGGTGAACCTCCATCAAATCCAGTGCCATAGTGGGTCCCATCAGCCTTAGCTATCTTGGCTCTCATCCTGGCTTTTCAGGGTCTTATCAACCCCTAGCTTCTGCAGCTATTTCAATAGTTTCCTTTTGCTAGTCATGTGAAACTGCTGCCTGGAGTTTTTTATTCTCCTGCAACCACCCTTATTATTCCTGTTTCATTTCCCCTTCCCCTTCAGAGATTTCCATCTCTTATTCTTAAGGGTTGATGAGGGAGAAGGCTGGTCTTCTTTATCTACTTCCTGCTGATTAGAGATGTTGGCCTTGCCTCGCAAGGGCGTGGAAATCTCTGGCTGCCTGGCCTGAGGGCTCTAAGGGTGAGTTATCAGGAGACTCTGAATCCAAGGGAGGGATTGGAATCATTGCATGACTATCATTTTGACATGGAACTGTTGTAATGTAAAAGACACAAAATTTACAAAGAGGTTAAACAAGTAAGGACGAAGATTCATAGTAATAAGAGAGCTATTGAAGGTCAAAGGAAAGAACCACATCACAGTTGGTAGGTATCCTTTGATGGAGTCCCAGATGGTTTGAGCAGTGGGATTGTATTGAAATTATGTAGCCAGGTAGCCTGTTAGTAAATCTTTTGAACTTTCAGTTCAACTAATCCTGAATTGTTAATATAAGAACAACAGGTGTGTTTTATTACTGTGCAAACCCGACTTTGTTCAGCTAGAACATAAAGCCTCTTGTTGTTTCCTTTACCATTCAAGCAGTTCATGCTTTGACCCTGTTAGAGCTTCATACAGTAGCTTAGCAATGATTCCAAATCCTGGGATCCAAATCTTGCAAGTTCCTGTCATACCCAGGAAAGTTTTGAGTTACTTCTTCAGTTGTAGAGGCCTGACCTTTAAGATAGCTTCCTTTTGTTCAATGGACATGGTATAGTTTCCTGGGCTTAAGATGTACCCCAGATATTTTACTTCCAGTTTAGAAATCTGGGCCTTGGATGGAGAGACTGGATACGCTTTCTCCCAGGAAGTTTAGAACTTGAATAACATTCTTATCTGAGGCCTCTTTAGTGGGTCTGCATACAAGGATGTCATCCACATATTGGAGTATGGCTTCCCTTTCTGGCTCTAGTTACCGTAATTCTCTTGCCAAGGCATTTCTGAACAAGTGAGGGCTATCCCTAAAGCTCCGAGGCAGTATGACCCAGGTATACTGCCAGGAAATACTATTTTCAGTATTAGTTCACTCAAAAGCAAACAAATAGTGACAGTCAAGGCATAGAGGGATACAAGAGAAAGCATCCTTAAGATCTAATATCATGAACCAATTGGTGTCTTCTGATATTTGGGTAAATATGGTAGAAGGATTTGGCACTATAGGATGTAGGGGAATTATAGCCTCATTAATAGTTCATAAGCCTTGAACTAGACAATATTCTTCATTTTGTTTTTAGACAGGGAGGACAGGACTATTACAAGGAGACTGACATGGAACTAGGAGGCCATGTTTTAAAAACT